GCGATTAATTAATAATATTTTAAAAGCTGTTAAAACTGTGTGTATGTATGCAACAGCAGAAAAAATTAAGAGACCACAGCACAATTTTTAAATTCTTTCACTTATTTCACAATTTATGGGTGTGCGTCTGTGAATAATATATTTCCTTGGCAAACTGCAGCCTGGTTCTTCTCTGTTCCTCATTAATGAAGGGCTACTTCCTTGCTTTATGGGACTTCAGTCCTGCTTTTAGTCACCTGATATGAACTGTCCTAGCAGTGCACTTCACACCTGCACTTAATGTTTGCCATTCCTTTTGAAGGTCACTTGACGTCATCCTACCATCTCTGATAAGTTAACAATCATCTCTGGCATTAGAAAGTCGCTTCCGCCCTCTACCTGGCTGGTTCCTGGTCGTTCCCAGTGTCTCCTGCTTCACCTTATTCTTGTGTACTGCTGTCTTAGAAATTTTGAACCTGGAAGCATCCTGCTGCTCAGCGTAGCTCCTGCCAGCAGAACCACGATTAAACCAGAATTTAAAAATGTGGATTTGCATGAAAGTATAAAGTGGTCTCATTTTTTCCACAGCTGTATATATACATATACTGTATATACAAACATACAGACACACAACGTACAGATTTCTTAACAAACATCTATTAAAGTGGCTAAACATTGTGCAGGTAATAAATGACAGCTAGACAAATTATATGGGAAAATACCAACACATTAAAAAGGAATTTCTGCTGTGTTCAGTAGAATTTTCTGCTCATTGCAGAAATTGCTTCTCGAGCATGGATGGAAAAGGAACGCTCTGGGTGGTGGATATGGGGGCCTTTTTGGTGGGGTGAGCGAGTGCGGGAGAGCATGAAGGGAAGCGGCAATGGGCGACGCTGTTGGTGCCGACTCAGATTTTCCTTGGAGGGAGGACGGTCCCCCCACCCTAATGACATCACTCACGTTTTACACTACAGGCCGCAGAGTATTGTTAAGGGGGAGGGTGATTGTTCAGGCCAGGATGACAGTTGGAAATGGATGGATGGATGGATGGATGGAAGGAAGGAAGAATTCATGTAAGAAAAGTCTCCTTTGGTATCTGCATAATTCATATTTAATTTCATGCAAAATTATATAATTTATGATTGCAATTTACAGTATCATGGATGGTGTGGATTCTGTGCATTATTGCTTCAAAGGGAACATTAATAAACCTACTTTTAAGGGCCATTCGTTATACAGAGTGGTTTCCATCTTGTTTTCCTGACCCTCAGTTGCTAAGATGATGAAACGAAACACAAACCGGGGGCTACAGAGGTAAGAATTAATGAGGCGTAGACCAGCAGGATCCCCGCACGGCATCCTCAGTGGGACCGCGCAGCTCGGGCTCGGTAAGGAGGTCCCAGTGTCACATTCGGCGCCTGGATGCTTTCAGAGGAGCCGCCAGCAAACGGAGCAGGGTGACCCAACCTAACGTACGCGCCTGAGTGTGATCGGAGCCCCGCGGGGAGGGGCTGCAGCTCGCGGCCCCACAGACAAACCACAGGCATGCGTTTGTCCTCTCACACCGCGGAGCTTTAAGAGGCTAGCGATCGGCTGGATCCGTCACGGCCGAGTGGGGCGGGGCCTTCGGGGCTGTTGCTATAGCAACGGGGTGAGGAATCCTGCTTGACATAGAAAGCGGGGGGGTCAATTCTAAAAGGCTGGATCACCTGGGGTGGAACTCAGAGGGGCTCTCTCTCTCTCTCACTCGCCGCTGATCGTGCACGGTCTGCGGGTTCGCCTGCGCGGGATCGCGGCAGATGAAGAGTCACGCGTCATGTGACAGCCCTGCAGAGGAAGTCCCGTGATATACCGCGAGAGCGCCACCACAAAGGGACAGGGATGAATGCTACCTGACTACGGTGTGGCGTGCCATGTGCCATGTGCCATGTGTCCGTCACAGGGGAGGTATCACAGCATTACCCTAAACTGGGGCATTTCTGCAGGGTGAATCAGTGCAACAAGAGTCGGTTTGTATATAAGATCCAGGTAAACAACCACATGCTGCCCCCTGCCATGGCACTAAGCTCCAGTGGGGCCGCCCTGGCAAAGGGGGCCCTCTGCTGTCTGCTCCCCCGCTTCCGCCTGCCCCAGGTTTTCTTCCAGATGCTCGCCTCTCTTCCGAAAATTGCGGATTACTGCACCCAGTGGCAGTTTGTCGTCTTTGGCTGTGCTGAAAACAGCGCCAGCATCCCCGTCACCTGCCACCACCGCCGGTGCCTCAGTGACGCTCCCGCTGACGGCTTCAGAAAAAACTGGGCTGTTGGGAAGGGTTCCGATGAAAGGGATCCCAAAAAAGAACTCCCTCCCGGGAGCTCCGGTGTACTACAGATTTCGTGAAGTACGATCTTGTTTTTGCAGGAGCACATTTTACTAAAAAAAAAAAACCTATTTTTCTATAGCTGACTTCCAGTTTTTTCAGACTTTGCCCTATTTTGAGGATTGCTTAATCTCTGTGAAGAGGATAAAAATATAGAACCTTGATAGCGATGTAGAGAACCGGGGGCGTGACTCAGGCAGCGACGGCCGAAAGCTCCTGACGCTCCGCCTCCTGCCGGCTTGGACCTGCCGCTTCTGGCTCTTTACTGGTTTCAGGGAGATTTGCACGAAACAAAACAAACAGCCAGACGGCCGCAGGTGTACAAACGATTCTCCCAGCTACACCACGACCTCTCTCTCCTGACGCCGTGACTCCCTCCCACGCACGTGTGCTCAGGCCACACGAGCGCAGGCTGGCACACACACACACACACACACGCACACACACACACACACACGCACATGCACACACACACACACACACATACACACGCACACACACACACACGCACACACACACACACACGCACATGCACNACACACGCACACACACACACACACGCACATGCACACACACACAGACATACACACGCACACACATGCACACACACACACACATACCCACACACACACACACGCACACACACACACACACCCATACCCACATGCACACACACACACACACATGCAACCTAGACCAAGTTCCTTTTTATTATTTAATGACAGAGTCAGCTCTCTGCTTCCCTTGTTCCTGTAGACATGTTTGGAAAACTCAAGGGTGGTCAAACAATAGGGGGTCTATCAAACACTCCTCCCCTGTTCTGTTCACATCCCTGCCAGTTTCTTGGGGGATTTCACTCTCCGCTTTGAACTGCGTTGGCCTCCGGTTGAATACCAGGCGTGTTGGGAAGACTCCTACCAGACTGTTATACAAGCGCGGTGGTCGTGTTTCTCAGATAAACAAGTCAGTAGGTGGTTCTCCCGGTCTGAGCAGAGGCAGGAGGAGCCCACTGGTGCCCCAGAAGCCAGACCCCACTGTTAAATATCGGGGAAAAAAGGCCCAGAATGGGTTCGATCTTGGCAGGCTGCTTGTGAAAGACACAGCGATGGCAGTTATGTAAGTAGCTGTCTGCTAACAGTGAGAAGATGCTGGAATCTGACCTTGAGACCAGAGATATGAAGAAATCTCCAAGCAACCAGATAAAGCAGAAAGTGGTGATTTTAGCTTTTTTACTTGACACAGTACTCCTCCCACCCCAGCCCCCGCCACCCCCACACTCACAGCTATTATGTTACCCTGGAATGCTCAGCACCTACCCATGGTTACTTATGAGGGTCATCAGCTCTCTCAGAGCCAGGGGTGCTGAATAAAATGTCACTCAGCGGGTCGCAGGGAGCCAAAGCTGGACCCGTGACCAAGACACGTGTTTTGAAATGGGCAGGTTACCCCCCCCCCCCCCCTTTTGCACATGGAGGTCAGGGCTCATGGGAGAAGGCAGCACATCTTTTATGCTCCTCTAAATGCCTCATGGGAGTTTGTCCACAGTCCACCTGTGTCAGATTGATGTGATGACATTGTGCGCCGTGAAAGGAAACCAGCATTAATACAATAAAGCAGCCAGTATTAAATTAATGTTCAGGGCCTCGTCAAAAGGTAATTTACTTAAAGATAAGGGACTGCTTATTCGGGGGCGTAGGAAAACGTACCCACCAATATTTAATTTGGCTTCATTGGTCCCTCCCAAAACATAGCCCTTTACGTTTGAATTATTACGTTATATCCCCTCATATCAAACTCTCTCCTATGCCCTAGTGCTTATTCTCTTAGTATTAACGACGTCCCGCCCCATGTAAATATAATTGCACCGGTAGGGTCACCAGGATGTCACACATCTGGTCGATGGCTGTGTGAGGTCAGCTGATTGACCACAAGTGGGATGACCCCCGCAACACCGATACCAGCCCTTAGCTGGACCGACGTTTAATCACGGGAGGTGCTAGAGGGCGCCCTTTAGCCCTGGCTAACGCACACGTCGCTCTGGGGTAGAGGAAGCGTGCGTTCGACACAGGAGGCGAGCCGTCATTCCCGCACGCTTCTCGCAATAGGGCTGGCATCCCCTCACAGGTGACGGGGCGGAGATAAACACGAGAGAGCACGCTTCAGAGACAGATCGCACCATGCGCTTTAAAGGCTAACGATCAACGCTCAAACGCTGGAGCTGTCAACCGTCTGTGGGACCAGAGAAGGGAACGTGAATAAACAAATAAATGAATGAACCAGTAATCAGTGCAACATGGACGTGTGGTGCTGGACGGAAGAACACCATAACCGAAGGAAAACAAGCCTCGCTTCACCATGTCAAGGAATCAGATCCCAGACAGCCTGGCCTTTAGGGATTTAGTTACGTTGTTATTTTCTAAAACTAAATAAACGATAATAGTAAAACAATGCTTGGTTTGTTGTTTTGTCTCATCACCGGCGGTATTTTATGGGACGGCCTCAATAATAGAAGCTGAGCAGACAGCCAGGTCACGGACAGGCGCACGGGTCACGGACAGGCGCGCGGGTCACGGACAGGTACACGGGTCACGGACAGGTACACGGGTCACGGACAGGTACGCGGGTCACGGACAGGTACGCGGGTCACAGGCGCATCACTCACCAGTCGTGCTGTGGCTCATCGACCACCAGCAGAATTTTGAACTTCTTGGGTGAGGCGGCAGGCGTCTGGTCCACCAGGCCGGCGGAGGCGGCCGTCTGCTTGACCACATTGGTGATGGAGCTGAAGAACCCACCGCCGGAGGAGGTCTGGGCCAGCTGCGGTCTCCTGTCCGGGGTTGGGGTGACAGAGGGAGCCTGGGCGGGGGTGGGTGCCGGAGCTGGGGTTGGGGCCGGGGTCGGGGCTGGGGCAGGAGCCGTGCTGGGGGTGGCGGACGAGGCTGCTGTGGGAGGAGGTGGTGGAGGGGGGTCTGGCCGCTGGAGGTCCGTCATGTAGCCATTAGGCAGGTTGGCGATGAAGCTGCTGTCGGACAGGCGGCGGCGCAGGAAGTTCATGGCTGACGGCCTGGCGGGCAGGCGCTGGGGAGGAAGCGGGGTGCGGCGAGCCCGCGGTCTCTGCTTCACACGGCGACGCAACGGCGGCTCGGGCAGGCGATGCGCACGCGGGGCTGAGCTGAGCTCGCGTCTCTGTCGGCCGTGTCCCCCTCTGTGGCTGCTCCTCCCTCCCTCCTCGATGCTGGGCTTTTTCGCCGCTCAGCCAATCTGTGGCCAAGGGATGCTCTCTCCTTCTCTCTCTCCCTGTCTCTCCCTCTCTCTCTCTCCCTGCCTCTCCCTCTCTCTCCTTCTCTCTCTCCCTGTCTCTCCCTCTCTCTCCCTCTCTCTCTCCCTGTCTCTCCCTCTCTCTCTCCTTCTCTCTCTCCCTGCCTCTCCCTCTCTCTCCTTCTCTCTCTCCCTCACTCTCTCCTTCTCTCTCTCCCTGCCTCTCCCTCTCTCTTCCTCTCTCTCTCCCTGTCACCTCTCTCTCTCTCTACCTCTCCCTCTCTCTCTCCCTCTTCCTCGCTCGCTCGGTCTCAGCAGTCCCCCCCCACTACCCCCCCTCCCCTGAACGTGTCCTGCTACCTCATAACCGACGTGCCCCTGTCATGCCGTATCCGGGGGTTACCAGGGGTTTCCAAGGAGAACGCATGAGGTGGCGCATGCAGAGGGACACCCCCCCATGACTCTGCTGCACCCCCCTATCCCACCCCCACAGTCACCCCAGGATGACCTTCTCAGTCAAGGCTTCAATCTCCCCAGTAGGCTGCAGGAGAGAGAACACAAATCCAGGTGGGGGGGGCTGTGAATGGAGAGGATTGGGGGTGGGGCGGCACAGGGCAGACATCAACACTCCTCCATTACAGGAGGTGTTCCCTGAAGACCCCTCTCTCACCGGAGCTGCACGTTACACTTCAGGAAAAAAACAATATTAATCATTCCTGCAAAAAAGAAAATCGATAATCCGGCAATGGAAAAGCAAGGTTTTCACACTAAAGTAACCTATGCATCCAGTGCAGAAACACCCTGCTGTCCTATAAGCTCACCAAGGACTCGCAGAGACGTCAATCAGATTATAAGCGGTACTTCCCCCTTGCTGGGTAGCTAAACCTGACATCAGGGAATGGCCATGCTCAAATTAAACAGCAAACCTTTATGTTCAACCACTAATTTCTCTGTAGCAGAAAAATCTGGTCACCAAGCCTGTTCTGCTTTTACACCTGAAAAGTGAATCTCCCCATAAATTGTTATTCAAAACACAAGTATTGTTTTTTTTTTTAATTACACTGCTTTTGTTTATCTCCTGCTTTTTTTCCTGGCAGCTTCTCTCCATAATTCATACAGACTAAAAGACAGGAGGAGGAGAACAGGCTTGAATGATGTGCCTGGTGCCAGCCTGGCTCTGTCCTTTAAGGCTTCCCGTTTAGAGATGTGTAGAGGCAGCCTCTCTGCTGAGGTACCTCTGCGTTGGTCTGAGACCAATGTAACACCCAGGACTTCTGTGAAATGGTGAATCTCATCAAGAACAAGGTTCGCACATGTTCTGTATTATGGTTATTATAAATGTTTACTTCCATTTGTGTTTCTTGCAGGTTGAAATGAAATAAAAAACATGAAATGAAAGTTATTTACCATTTATGCGCCTGAGCATGAGTCCCGGTGCATTGGAATGTGTTTTTTTTTTTCCATATCCCATAATGCTCCCTGTTTTTAATACATGCACACATTCAGTGGTGAAACTGAAACTGAGTACAGGGTCAGGCTTTCCTCCAGCGCCCCTGGGCTTTTTTCAGAATGTATGGGGGGTGCATACCAGGGAGCGTCTGAAGTCGCGCATGTCTCTTTCGACCGAAAATGCAAAACTTGATAAGCTGTTGTGCTTCTGGCAGCTGCCTTTATGCTAAAACACCTTCTGCTGCATGACAAAGCGTTTGTCTTAGGGGTCTCCGAAGGAGAAGAGCAATCAGAAAGAGATAAAAATAGTTCTGTACAGCTACCAGTGTCCCTCAGGGTACGGCAACAGAGCGAAATCGTAATGCCAGCGTCTTAAAACACAGCATGGGTCTCACCAAAGCGATACCCTAACCCCACTGTGTTTTACCCTGAGAGAACCGGAAAATTCCACAGGGAAATTACAAGGGTGTTAGTTTAAAGCCTCACATCAGTGGTAATTTATGTTGCTCAGTAGGTTGCTAGTTTGAATCCCAAACTACTCAGCAGACTAGCCCAGGTTTGTAGCCACATAGTAAAATTTGTATGCTCTCAATCAGACACAGTCAGGTAGTAAAATAATGAGTTTGAACCCTCTCTGAAATTTGTACCCCCCCGCCCAAAATTTCTGGCTGCACACAAGTTGCCACATCTCTGTTGAGCCCCTGAGCAAGGCCTTCAACCCCCTGAAAAATGCTGTAGGGGTGCCGGATGGATGGCTGACATTGTGCTCAGACCTCAAAGCTTGATTCTCAACTTTATTTGTGTGTGTCTCAGGTGAACAAGATGGGATATGAGAGCAATCACATTCCAAAGTACCTGTACTCATACAAATCTCAAATAAAGCTTAATTTTCTATTCCATGTTGAAAATATGGCAGGAGAACTTGATAAGATACAAAAATAATGAACAAATAGATACTGGAAGCTACTGGTTTATAACTGTAGATAAATATGGCTGGTCCAAGATCTGGACTCAAGGTCATGGTGAAAACTGTAGGGTGCTGTTTGAGTTTAGTAGTGCTCCAGTGTGAGGCGAGGAGGCGTTGCCAGCGCATCGCCGTCGTGCGACGCCCCCATGTGGTGTGAGTCACAGCTGCGCTCGTGCTGACACGATAAGCTCATCGCGTCCTACATTCCTCCTCAGAAAGTGACGGCTTAAAACCCAACGCTCAGCACTTGCTGCTCACGTACCAGGGTGCTTCTGTGCTCTGATGAAGGGACAGAAAAGCAATTTGTAAAAAAAAAAAATAAAATTATATCTTTGGCAGAAACATGGCAACATGAAATTGAAAGAGAATAACTGTGCATAATCCAAAGCAGGGATGTGTGTTGCAGATACTGCATCATAACGGGTGCAGAACCCTTTCATTAAAAGCATTCGTGCATTTACTTTGATATCTCCACAGTGAATATAAAAAAGTAAACAAGCAAATAGGAGGCTGAGGTAGGCATTCATGTTGCTGGGGTGACTAGCACTGTGATCTCACTGTGGGTTCGATTCCTGGCCCGGCTTCTGTGTCTGTGCGGAGTTTCACTCTCTTGTTAGTTTGGGTTTCCTCCTCCACAAACATAGTTAGGTGAATCACTGTTTCTGAACTACCCTGTGTGTTATTGTGTGCTTGTACTCTGCGATGCAATGGCATGATGTCCAGGGTGAGCCTGGGACCCGCTCCAGGCCCTTTTGTGACCTTGTCCAAAATAAGTGTTTGTGATGGATGTGATGGATGCTTGGACAGTTTCTCCCTCTGGCTTGCAATAAATGTTGATATTGTTGAATCATCTCCGTTGGCAGAACTGAGTTTCCTCCTAAAGTATAAATAGCCTGACCCGAGACGGCATCGAATCTTGGATTCCACTGGGATCAGAATTTGTTGTAACATGCATTTGCTATTTTCAGAACCAGGCAAATACTATAATGCAACCTCCCCATGACAGTAGAACAATAAACAAACAAATAAATATAATGATATTAGTCTTCTTTTTTCGTCCAATTTTATCCTTATTTACCAGATTTTTTATTCTTCCCCTAAATAATATAGATAGATTTTGTAATGAATGTATCCCTGTTGTTTCTTAAATTTATGCATTTCAGTCACCAGTCCAGATCTTTCCCTACTGTGCTCTAAAATAGTGGGAAGAAAACACAAAGTTGTATTTCGTGGAGTAAACATATTTAATAATGTTATATTTCAATGTTAATATTCACTCAAAAGCCCTTGTGGAGTAAACATATTTCTTATATCCCTGTAATTTAAAAATATGAGACATAGAAAAAGACAATGCAGATGTATTTGTGAATGTGGTTCATATTCCTGGAAACTACGAGCGCCAGGCAGGGAACAGCCCAGGATGGGGCGCCAACCCATCGCAGGGCACACTCACTCACCATTCACTCATATCTGCACAACTATGGACAATTTGATAATTCCAGTTAACCTCAGCCTGTTTTTGGACTGTGGGGGGGGGGGGCACCGAAGTACCTGAAGGAAACCCCATGATGACATGGGGAGAACATGCAAACTCCATACATCTGGATAGGTTCCGGACCCCCTGCGACCCAGAATAGGACAAGCCGTCACAGAAAAAGGATGGATGGTTCATATTATTTATACCTATGGACAGAATTGCATGGTGACAATGAAGGCATAATGTCAGCTGATTATGACATCAAAAGCTAATTGTGATGCTGATTGTGACATCATTGGAATATAGACTTTGACAGGAAAAAAAAGACGATAACCTGCACGACTAGAAAAATGACATCACTAGATTACATGTCGATTTGCCTCTATTAGTTAATGGAGGAAACTGTTTACAGCATATAAAAGCAGGGCCAGTAAACAGTGGCCTTACAAGCAACTTAAATCATTTCATTACTTCATTATTTTCTGCTGGTAATATTGTAATGGCTTTGATTCTCTGTAAGCCTTTGCAAAAATAGGAAATAATTAACCCTGAATATTCTTTTTGTCAACTCTAGTTTTATAAAATAAAAAAACTCACCATTTACAAATATTTCTTGCTTTAAAAAAAAAAAACATTTTCGCCATCCCAGTGTTGGTAAGTATACAGACATTTTAAACAAAAGACGGCTTGTCAGATCAGAGCTCCAGGCAGCCTGACAGCGCTGATGTTTAACTGATGTGGTGCATTCATCTCCTCTGTTCACCGAAGCTGTGATGTCGCCTCAAGATTACCCATGAGCCACTGCTCCCTCTCACTTGGTTCCTTGGGAAAAGGGCAAGTCTGCTGTAGGAGCTGCACGAGTCTAAATTACACCCACATATCTTTAGCTGAAGGGCAGAGAGCATTTACAGCGCGTTATGGTTGCGGTAGTGCTGCCCTCAGTGTAATGGTTTTCATGTGAACACTCACTCGCAGACATGTCCATGCCCAATTATAACAAGGCAGAACCATCGAGTGTCGTGTGAAAGAGGTGGCACAGATGGGGAAGCATTTTCCAGAGTATATTTTTAATACGCCAGCTGGTCCCGTTGCAGCGTAACTTCAGTGATATCAGTCCTGAATCTTCAAGTCTCCATGCGTGAGGGAATTCTGACACAAGGAGGACAACACAGACCTGCACAGAACCACCGCTAAGAAAGCAATGACCTG